GTTCTGTGAACACCACACTCCTTTCCCCTGGCCAGGAGCATGCGTAGTCTTGTAAATAGGCCGGCCAACTGCGCTGGCGGCTGGACCGTCTAAGTCCTGGGGAATCTCCGGCTGGACCGTCTAAGTCCTGGGGAATCTCCGGCTTCGCCCCAGGGATCACCCTGGAAGCTGCAGGAGCGCGAGTCCGATTGGCCGGAGCCTTAGTCCGAGTGCCCGGCGGTGGTCCGGGTAGGTTACTTCATTTGGCTCGCTTCGGGCACGTAAATCGGCTGGATAGGTAGACCGGGTTGTTTGGTCGGGAGTCCATAGCGTTCCCTCGGTAGACCGGGTCGTCTGGTCGGAAGCCTCCGGCGTCGGCTGGGTAGACTGGACCCTCGGCGTTGGCTGGGTAGACTGGACCCTCGGCGTTGGCAGGGTAGACCGGATCCTCAGCGTTTGCTGGGTTTGCTGGGTAGACCAGACCCTCGGCATTTGCTGGGTAGACCGGGCCCTTGGTGTTTGCTGGGTAGACCGGACCCTCGTCATTCCCTGGGTAGATCAGTCCCTTTGCGTTTGACGGGTAGACCGGTTCGCCTGGCTGGGGACCGCTGCTGTTTGTTGGGTAGATTGGGTCATCTGGCTGGGTGCGGAAGTCATCAGTAGTCCTTCTCCAACGCCTCCTCAGCTGGTCTACATGTCTGCCAGATACGACCGTCGTCTAGGAGGACCCTGTAGGATCTTGGCCCTGTAACTGATATAACCTGTCCTGGTACCCATAACGGGTCCCCTGCATAATTCCTGGCATAGACCAGGTCATGCAGGGAAAATTCCCTGGTACGGCTATCGGAACCCAAGGGGGTGCCAGGGGTGTAATGGGGGTGCAAGCTATCCAAAGGTGGTCCTAAGGCGCCTGCCCATTAGCAATTCTGCAGGTGACTTGTTCGTTGTGGTGCAGGGGGTTGTATGCTGAGTCAGAAGGTATCTGGACAGTTTGGAGTGCCAGTCTATCTGGCCAAACCTGGCTAATGCTTCTTTTACTGAACTAACTGCCCTCTCAGCCATCCCATTGCTTGCAGAGTGAAAAGGGGCTGTGAGGATGTGCCTGATACCCAGGTTGGCTGCAAATACTTCGAACTCACAAGAGGTGAACTGGGGGCCGTTGTCGGACACCAGTGTGTCAGGGAGGCCATGGGTGACAAATACCCGGGTCAGGGCTCTAGTGATGGCCAGCGTGGTTGTGGAAGGAAGTAGAGCCAGGTCAATCCATTTAGAAAAAGAGTCCACTAAGACTAGGAAGGTCTGCCCATGCACTGGGCCAGCCAGGTCGATATGTAGACGCGACCAAGGGGCCCCAGCATCCTCCCACCTGGTAGGAGTGGCTGCAGGTGGGGCTGTCCTGGTAGCTTGGCATGGCTGGCACGAGCTTACCCAGCTGGATATCTGGGCATCCATGCCTGGCCACCACACATAGCTGCGGGCCAGGGCCTTCATCCTCATGATGCCCGGATGGCCTTCATGTAGGACCTTTAAGATTGGCTCCTATAGTGTGGCAGGGATGACCACCCTTGTCCCCCACAACAAACAACCCTGTAGGGATGACAACTCTTGCCTGCGAATCTTGAATGGCAGAAATTCAGGAGTGTATTGGATTGCAGGCCACCCACTTCCCACCCAGTCCAGGACTTGGGCAATTACTTTGTCCCTTTTGGAGTGAGTGGCAATGTCTTCAGCTGTAACAGGCAAATTGAGTTCGTTGACCTCAAAAATGGCATGTATGGGTGCGGGGTCTTCAACTGGTACTGGTAGGGGGCAGCAGCTAAGGGCATCTGCGTGGCACATGTTCTTCCCCGGGCGATGCACTAGTTTGTATGAATAGGCGGCCAGGAACAGAGTCCACCTGGTCATGCTTGGTGATAGGACTTGTGGGGTTTGCTTGTCCCCAGACAAAAAGCGTTAGTTCAGCAGACATTCTGGGATGCATCTTCTTCAGGGTCTCCCAGGAGATGACTGAGAGTGCAGATCCCGTGTCCACCTCCATCCTGCAAGGCTTACCTTCTAAAAAAAACAAAGATACTTATTTTGTTAGAGCCTTTTGAAGTGTAATCTGAGTGGTAGCAGGTATAGCAATCCTCAACTTGCCTTTGAAAATTAGCAGTAGGTTGAGGCCTCTGAGGAAAAGTTCTCCCTGCTTGGCAGACTCTAGCTAGGTGGCCTTTCCTTTGACAGTCCAGGCAGATTGCATTCCTGAACCTGCAGGATGCCCTAAGATGGGTACCTCCACAGCTCAGGCAGATAGGTTGCTGCCTGGGGGTGAGGTTGGTCTTTTGCCTAGGCCCTTCTAGGGGAGGCTTCTGCTGTCTACGGCGGTTTATGTCCATTGTGTCTTCAGGATTTTCATCTAGGGAAACTTCCTCAGAGTGGATAGTTGAGCTTCCTTGCCTGATAGGAGTCCCTTGAATTTCAGCTGCTGATTGAGCAGATAGCTCAGCAGTTTGGGCTTCCTCTATAGCTATAGCTAAGGTCAAGTCTTTTTTGGCTAGCAAACGTCTTTGAAGTCTCAGGTCCCTGACTCCACAGACAATCTGATCTAGGAACGTGTCTTCTAGGTAATCTCTGAACCCACATTGTAGGGCAGCTGATCGCAAAGCTGTCATATACTCACTAACTGACTCCCCCTCAGACTGCTTCCTCATCCTAAAGGCATGTCTCCTAGCGATTTGGGAAGGCTTAGGGGAGTAGTGGTTGGAGAGGATCTCCTGGAGCTCCTCCCAGGGAATAGTTCTAATAGAACGAGGGGCGACTAGTGCTGTAGCGGTGTCAAAAACCGCAGCCCCGCAAAAACTAAGAAAGTATGATTTCTTTCGGTGGTCTGTGGCGTCCGTGAGGTCTATCGCATCTAGGAAGCAGATGAAATGGTTCTTGTACGATTCCCACGTCTCAGCAGTCGGCTTGAAGGGTGGGAATGCCGGGCTGGAAGTCATCGTGAGGCGGCAGCGTCTGTCTCCTCAGCTGGTGAAGGCTTTGAAACTCGCGCTCTTAGAAGAGCAATCTGCGGCTGCGCCTGTCAGGTGGCGCCTGTCTCCTCAGCTGTGGAGGCTTTTAAACTTCGCGCTTGCGGAGAGCGTCAGCGGCTGCGGCTGTCAGCTCTCGGTGGCTCCGCTCTTTTTTGGTGACCAGCTCAGCTTGTAGAACGTCTGGTTGCCTCTTATAGGATCCCGCCCTCGTCGCCAGTGTTGTAGAGCAGCGGAGATACGAGGCAGACACAGAGCGTTAGTTCAGGAAGCTTTATTCAAAGAATAAAGGGTTGCCGCGGCTGCCGAAGCTAACAAGGCAGATCAGCTGGCGGCAACAGCTGATGCCGTTTGACAGCTCCTTTTATAGCCGGCTGTCAAACGGCATCAGCCAATGGGAGCGATCTTGCAGCTGCTGCAGTTCTCTGGGGAACTGTTAAACTGTTAAACAAAATTCGTTTAACAAAATCCCCCCAAAAGGCAAGCCTGGTCGAGAGCAGGACTTGCCAAATGGACCTGAGATAGCCGCTGTCAAAATGACAGTCCTAAGCGGTTTGCGGCTGCCGTGGCTGTCAAAAAAACCTTGGAGTCAGACCGAAGTACCAGACAATGACTCTGACTCCAGCCCGGACCCCACAGGCTATCAGGGGCACTCTAGGTCCTCAAATCCTTTAAAAAACACTAACAGTAGGAAACAATTCAAAAATGAAAAATACATTAACTGGAAAAATAAAGGCATGAAAATACAAAAGCGCGAAAAAACCCCAAGCGGCTGAGCCAACAAAGTCGTACAGCTGTCAAACCTCCCTCAAAAGTCCAAAACGCTAAGAAAATCCAGACGGTAGAATGATTCTTCCAAAACTCAAATAATTCAGAGTTCTTTTAGGGTGGTCTGAATGAGCTGAGACCGAGTGAAGAACTGGGGACTGTTACAGGGGGGCGTGTCCTCAGAATTCAACTCGGTCTGTAGAGCAACGAGGCTAGAGACTACCCAACCTGGATTCTCTTGTCGACTCAATGGAGAAGCAAATAATTCAAGATCAAGCAGGTTTCTGCAGCCCTTCCTCTTTGTCCCAGCCCCTTTTGGCCTGCTATTATGCTACAGCTTGTGCTTCCGTACCAAGGAAAAGTAAGAACTCTTTGCATGGGCTTGTTTTTGAAAGCTTCATTCTGTTTCTTTAACAGACCAGTGGAGGTTCTACTAAATCTTCTGAATAGCTAGTGTTGTAGAGCGGCGGTTACAGAAGGGAGACTGAGCCAAGGCTAGGCTAACATACTTTATTCATTGAATAAAGGGTCGCCGCGGCTTCAGAGGCAATCTGACAGCCAGCTGGCAGCGACAGCTGATGCCGTTTGACAGCTCCCTTTTATAACCGGCTGTCAAACGGCATCAGCCAATGGGAGCGATCGGCGCTCCCGCTCAGATGGCGGACCAGAAGGAGAACTGCAGGCAGGTTCTTAATACATAACACTCCTTCCCCCTGGTCGCGCGCATGCGTAGTCCTGTAGCCACAATGGCGGCCTTCGTTCGCGGCTTGTCCTCCGCGGCTCTGGAGGCTTGGGGGCTGCAGCACAGTCTCTGTTTTCTCTGGCGGTGCCAGGCGTCTGCGGAGGGTCGACGGCCGATCCGGACCTGCTATCTGGAGGCTGCTCTGGTGAGTTTTCCTGCGGTGGTCGGTTGGCTGGGAAGTCGGGCCTCTGGTAGACCGGGTAGTTCTGCGGGACGGCTGCGGCAGGCGGCGAGTAGACCGGGTGGCTCTGCGGCAGGTTGTCCAGGCTTTCGACGGCAGGCGAGGTCCAGCGTCTCCTGAGCTGGTCGATATGCCTCCTCCAGGTTCTCCCATCTTCCAGGAGGACTCTGTAAGACCTGGGCCCTGTAATAGAAACTATCCGCCCTGGCAGCCATAACGGGTGCCCTGCATAGTTCCTGGCATAAACCAGGTCTTGCACGGCAAAGCCCCTGGCATGGCTGTCAGATGCCAGGGGTGTGCTGGGGGAGTAGTGGGGGTGCAACCTGTCCAGGGTGGTTCGGAGTCGCCTGCCCATCAAAAGTTCAGCAGGTGACTTGTTGGTTGTGGGGCATGGCGTGGCATGTTGCGTGAGTAGGTAAGTGGACAGCTTGGAGTGCCAGTCTGCCTGCCTCAGTTTGGCCAAAACTTCCTTGGCCGACCTAACAGCCCTCTCTGTCATCCCATTACTGGCGGGGTGAAAGGGGGCTGTAAGGGTGTGCCTGATGCCCAGGTTGGCAGTGAAGATGGCAAATTCATTAGAGCTGAATTGAGGCCCGTTATCTGACACCAAGGTGTCTGGCAGTCCATGAGTAGCAAACAGTCTGGTCAAAACCCTAGTGATGGCTTGAGTTGTGGTGGAAGACAGCATGGCTACTTCAGTCCATTTGGAAAACGAGTCTACTACCACCAAGAATGTCTTCCCCAGCATGGGGCCAGCTAGGTCAATATGTAGCCTGGCCCAGGGTGCCCCTGCATCTTCCCATCTGGTGGGTGGAGCTATGGGTGGAGCTGCCCTTGTCGCCTGGCAGGCCTGGCATGCGTTGACCCAGCTGGCAATTTGGGCATCTAGTCCTGGCCACCAAACGTAGCTGCGGGCCAAAGCCTTCATCCTTACCATGCCCGGATGACCCTCGTGCAGTGCCTTTAGAACTGGTTCTTGCAAGGAGGCAGGAATGACCACCCTTGTCCCCCATAACAGACAGCCCTGTATTGCAGACAACTCCTGCTTGCGGATCCTAAAGGGGATTAAATCAGGGGCAAATTGTATATCTGGCCACCCCCTTCCCACCCAGTCCAGGACCTGGGAAATCAATGGATCTTTTTTTGAGTGCGCAGCAACATCCCCGGCTGAAAGTGGGAGGTCCAGTCCCATGCACTCGAAGATTGTGCGGATGGGAGCTGGGTCCTCGACTGGTGTAGGCAGGGGGCACCTGCTGAGGGCATCTGCGTGGCTCAGGTTTATTCCAGGACGATGGATCAAGGTGTATGAATAAGCGGCCAAAAAAAGTGTCCACCTGGTCATTCTCGGGGAAAGTACCTGTGGGGTTTGTTTTTCACCAGCTAACAGTCCTAACAAAGGTTTGTGGTCAGTTACCAGTTCAAAAAAATGGCCATAGAGAAACTCATGGAACTTTTTTACAGCAGCTACAGCTGCCAAAGCCTCCTTATCGATCTGGCTGTAATTTCTCTCAGCAGCAGAGAATGTTCTTGAAAAATAGGCAATGGGTGCCTCAGATCCATTTGAAAGTCTGTGGCTTAAAACTGCTCCTATCCCAAAAGGTGAGGCATCAGCGGCGAGTACTAGGGGCAAGTCCTTGTTAAATTGAACTAACACTGCGTTTGAAGTTAACAGCTACTTCACTGCCTGGAAAGCGTTGGCTTCTTTATGTCCCCAGTGCCAGGAGACCTCCTTGTCTAGGAGCCTATGTAGGGGCTCAGCTACAGAGGCTTTGTGGGGTAGGAAGGATGCATAGAAATTTAGGAGCCCTAAAAAGGCCTGTAATTCAGTTTTGTTAGAGGGAGTGGGTGCCTCGTGAATGGCCCTGACTTTACTTTCTATGGGGTGAATCCCAGAGGCATCAATTCGATAACCCAGGAAGTCTACTTGGTTGGTAGCTATGGTGCATTTATCTTTTTTTAATTTGAGCCCATTTAGTCTAAATCTGTCAAGAACAGACCTTACTCTGAGTAGCAGTTGTGCCTTGGTAGAGGCCGATACTAAAATGTCATCAAAGTATGGAACCACCCCGGGTAGGCCCTGGAGGATTCTTTCCATGAGTGACTGAAAAATGCCTGGGGCAACGCTGACCCCAAACTGTAACGTTTACATCTGAAAGCGCCCCTGTGTGTTACTATGGTTTGGAGGTCAGCAGTGTGCTGGTCCACAGGGAATTGTTGGTATGCCTGGGACATGTCCAATTTTGCAAAAACTATGCCTGGCTCAAATGTGTGAAGCAGGTGTTGAATAACAGGCACTGGGTATGTGCTAACTTGAAGGAAATGGTTGATGGACGTCTTATAGTCCACGCAAATTCTCACGCTACCATCCTTTTTTAAAGGGGTGACTATGGGTGTTTCCCACTTAGCAAAATCTACCTGTTCCAAAACTCCTTGATTAATGAGTTTGTCTAGCTCAGCGTCTAATTTGGGCCTAATGGCGAAGGGAACCCTTCGAGGTTTCAAACGGATAGGGGTGGCTTGTGGACCCACATTGAAGGATATGTGGTTGCCCGTACAACAGCCCAGGTCATTGCTGAAGACATCAGCGTAGTCATTAAAAAGGGCATCAACTTCAGAGTTTTTGACAGAGTGAATCCCTGTGATGTTAAGACCTAGGGCAGGGAACCAATCCAGTCCTAGCAAGCTTGGTAGGGCACCATCAACAACTACCAGTGGCAAGTAACCTCTAAAGTTTTGGAATTGAATAAGGAATCTTCCCTTACCCAGGACCGGGATGGTCTTTCCCTGGTAGTCCCGAAGGTTCAGGTGGCAGGCAGTCAGCTTCCTCCTTGGGAACGAAGGTAGAATCTTCTTCAGCGTGGACCAAGCGATGATGGAGAGGGTTGACCCGGTGTCCACCTCCATGTGGCAGGGCTTATCTTCTAAAAGAAGAGAAACGCTTATTTTGTTAGGGTTCGTGGAGAAACTGCCCGCGTGATGACAGGTATAGCAGCTTTTTACTTGCCTTTGGGATGAGGCAGAGACTCGAGATCTTTGGAAGGGGGCTTGCTCAGCTTGACAAATTCTGGCTATATGCCCTTTTTTCTGGCAGTTCAGACAAATAGCATTCCTGAACCTGCAATTGGATCTAAGGTGGTTACCTCCACAGCTTGTACAAGGGGGCTGTTGTTTGGTGAACTGGTTGTTGTTTCTCCTTGGTGGAGCTAAAGGTGTTCTGGGGTGTGTGAGGCGATTTACTTCTAATGGTTCTTCTATTTCCTCCTGGGATATCTCATCATAATGGACTGTAGCCTGCCCTTGTTTTGGGGTAGCTCCCTGAATCTCAGCTGCAGATATTTCAGATAGCTCAGCAGCCTGAGCTTCTTCAATGGCTAGGGATAAAGTTAGATCTTTCTTTGCTAACAGCCTTCTCTGGAGCTTCAAATCCCTAATTCCACCCACTATTTGGTCCAGTAGCATGTCCTCAAGGTAATCCCTGAACCCGCAGTGTATGGCAGCAGATCTTAGGGCTGCCATATATTGGCTCACGGTTTCCCCTTCAGCTTGAACCCTTCTCCTAAAAGCTAGCCTCCTAGCTATCTGAGAGGGTTTGGGGGAATAGTGGTTGGATAAAATCTCTTTCAACTCTTCCCAGGGAATAGCCTTAATGGGTCGTGGTGACACTAGTGCTGAGGCAGTGTCGAAAACTGTAGCCCCACAGAAGCTTAAAAAATAAGACCTTTTCCTCAGGTCTGTAGCCCTAGACAAGTCTATGGCATTTAAAAAACATTCAAATCTGTTAATGTAAGATTCCTAAGTCTCTGTTCCTGGCTGGAAATGTGGGAAAGTCGGCGTAGATGCCATTGGAGTGGCAGAGTGGGTCTGCTAGATGAGGAAAAAAAATAGAGGTCGCTTTTAGAAAAGCGTTTCAGTAGCGCCCGTCAGCGGCGTTCAGCTCCTCAGCTGCGGAGCTTTGAAGTTCGCGCTCTTTTGGAGAGCGCCGGCGGTGGTGACTTCAATCAGCACTTAGCGGCTTCAGCTCTTTCTCTGTGTGACTTCGGCTCAATTGTTTCGCCTGGACGTCTTTACTGTATCCCGCCCTCGTCGACAGTGTTGTAGAGCAGCGGTTACAGAAGGGAGACTGAGCCAAGGCTAGGCTAACATACTTTATTAATTGAAGAAAGGGTCGCCGTGGCTTCAGGGGCAATCTGACAGCCAGCTGGCGGCGACAGCTGATGCCGTTTGACAGCTCCCTTTTATAGCCGGCTGTCAAACGGCATCAGCCAATGGGAGCGATCGGCGCTCCCGCTCAGATGGCGGACCAGAAGGAGAACTGCAGGCAGGTTCTTAATACATAACAGCTAGGGCTAGATTTTCTTCTCTTCCTCTACTGCTACTTTCTTTCCATCCTCCTCTGCTTGACCCCAATTATCACTTGTCTCTCAATTCCTTAGCATGACAGCAAAGATGTAGAGGTTCTTATTCCAGGGCACTCGTACATTTATTTCTCCCCTCTGCTTCAGCTGCAGGCCCTGAATGATGTAGTGGTCTTGCTGCAATGGGGAAAAAAAATAGGGCTGTAAGTCAGGGAGGCTGAGGGGGAGCTTGGAGGGTCAGCAACAGTTTGGCTTCTGCCCTGTCCCTTTGTGCTACCTTGAATCTGGAAAGATGCTAAAGTGGCTCCCCTAGATGCCTACATGGCTTCTTCCCTTTCCTTTTCAATGACCCATCTCAACCCAAAGTGTCTACTCGTCATACTGCTCCACTTTTTTGAGTTGAATATCTAAGGCAAATCTGTCTCTCTTAGGAGTTTTGGTAGTGTTTTCCACTCACTGAGTACAGTGAGTAACTGAGAGTTCAGTCCAAAGATGGATAGATGAGGACAAAAGGCCCTGGAGTTTCCAAGGAGACTCCAGACCTCCTTGTCTATAAGCATTTTGATGTGCTAACAATGATCATCCAGTCCAGCATTTCTGCATGCTACCAGTGCCAGGCCAATGTCTTCGGGGAGTTGCCCCCTTAAAATCACAAAAACAGTCTATTTTTCATCTTGTTGAAAAAGGCAACTAATTCTTTGGATGAAGAAATGTGGAAGTGAATGGGGCAGTTCCACTAATCTTGCTGCTCTAGCAAGCTTCACTCTGTTCCTCTCCCCACTATTAGCATGTCTTTGGAAGCACAATGTCTGTAGGTGTCCTTACATCCATGTCTCTTGGATGAGCTTGTGCCATTGTTTCTGCTTAGGTGAAGACACCCTCCTTGTTCTTCTACCACAGCATGAAGATAATGGCTTAACATTACAAGTCATTTTCTCCACAGAACTCTTGGCCCTAGTTACGTTTTTCAGAACCTTAGGCAAATTGCAGTCTAAATTTACCAATGTGAATTTAAAATCTCTGGCAAAGAATTGAGAGATTTCCCAAAAGGCTTTGATGGAAGGCAAAAAACTTCCAGGGAAGGCAGAGTGATCAGAAAAGGAAGAGGTTCAGAAAAGGGTTGGTCTCTGCTCTGTCTTTAGGCCAAAGAGAGCATTTGGGCACAGAGAGAAGTTCCCTCTGTATAAATCTAGGTGAAGGAGCCCAGTCTTGAAGACCTTCCTTCTCATCGTTTCTCCTCCCATTTTCCCCATCCCAGGGCAAAGAGTTTTCTCACCACAATGCTTTTGGAGCCCAGTATCAATTTTTTTTCTCCTTTGTTGTATATAGTGACTGGTATCCTGTACTAATTGTGTTGCTTCCTCTGAAGAACTTTCAACATCAGGTCATAGAGATCTTGTACATCTAGTCTTCCCCTTCACAACCTCCCCCCCCCTCCATAGAAAAAAAACCATTGAGAAAATGCCTAGAACAGAGTAAGGCAAGAACTCAGTCATTGAATGATTCCAAATAACTGTTACTGAGATTCCCTAAAAACTTCCCTATGGTGCACAAGACACCAAAGAGTTGGTTCCACATTGGGTTGATCTATATATTT